TGTCTGTCTGCTGCTGTCTGTCTGTCTGTCTGTCTGTCTGTCTGTCTGTCTGTCTGTCTGTCTGTCTGTCTGTCTGTCTGCCTGTCTGTCTATCTGTCCGTCTGTCTGTCTGTCCGTCTGTCTGTCTGTCCGTCTGTCTGTCTGTCCGTCTGTCTGGCTGTCCGTCCGTCCGCCCGTCCGTCTGTCTGTCTGCCTCTGTGTTTCTCTGTCACAGGCTCTAGATCTGCACTTTATGACAAATCGTGACTATGTCCACAGGTGTAGTAGCCTACTAGTAGGTGAGTGATACCTGAATTAACACACATTGTATTAAGCAAAGTGTTTTCCCAACATTACGTACATCGTTGTTTTGCGCGTGTAAAACAGGAGAGAATCGACCTTGTCGATATACAGGCGTATATACAGCTTCGCGACAGACATGGCATGCGAAATAGGAAAGACATAAAACATAGAAAACTTGTAAAAACAGAAGAGACACAGAGAAACCAACCTTGTCGATAGATGGAGGGGACATGGCAGGCGAAATAGGAAAGACATCAGATATAGGAAACTCATAAAAAAACAGGACAGACACGGAGAAAGCGTCCTTGTCGATAGATGGATGGGACGATTGACGTATGTACAGCTTCGCAACAGACATGATGCTGGCACACGCAAGACGCTGCTTGCTTAGTGTTCAATCATTCACGTTCACTGTAAATGTTTATTTAAATACGCGAAGGGAATGAATGAAAAAAGAGAGTAGAATGCAGATCTGCAAGTGTAATTACATCAACGTGCTTCACTTTATAAGCATCTATTCATAACATCTGCTATAGCATAAATGACATTCTGAGAAGCTGCAGTTATTATAGTAGATTCAAAAAGCTGAAATGTCAGTAACACGCAATAATTAACTATACAGCACCTAGGGTTATAAGATAATGAACCAATTTAACTGTTGTAAATCTTCTTGTGAACATTTCAATATAACAGTATTCGGAATAGATTTCCATCCTAACAGACTAGCAATTGTCTATGTGATAAGCAAATCTAATGGGCATACGTAATAATTGCCTAGAACATGTTCTCATTTGTCTTGCACTGAAGGACTGCATGTACTGGCACTAAGTTATAGATATTTTGACACAGAATGACGTGTACAGCCGATAAATGTTTAAAGTGAACCCCGCGTCAGTTTCCATTTCAGTTGTTTCTGCTTAGAGACGAGTTGTACTGTTGAATAACAAATGGTCTACGTTTTCCAAACCACCCGCACGAATGACTACGGGGCGTTTAAGTGCATTATATATTTATCTGCATTCCTGTGGCAATTTGGTAACGTGGCATGAAACGATATAATCTTCAGAGTAAACACTTTCGCTTTCGTACAGGTCACGACCATGATGCTACTGAAATAAAACGTGTAGCAGTGCAGCACTAACGCGTTACGCAAAACCGCCAGCGGAACCGTAACATGGTATCACCAGTTAATTAATTATAATGAGATTCAAGATGCCAAGAGTCACCCTTGATTATCACGTATAAAAGCGTTTAGGATGAGTACGTGCAAAACTACGGTGACTACTGTATGAACCGCACGAATCGTAATTAATTAAACTCTCTCTCTCCCGCTCGCTCTCGCTCTCTGTATCTCTCTCTCTCTCTCTCTCTCTCTCTCTCTCTCTCTCTCTCTCT